TCTCTCTCTCTCTCTCTCTCGCTTCGACATTTGCCAGACCGTCTTGCCCATGCCTCCGCGAATTATGGCCCACGGCTCCTGGAAGGTGCACATCAGCGGTCCTCTTATCCGGGTGGCTTGACTGTCGATGGGAAGACCGCAAAGTCCAGCCCTGAACCTCTGCACCTTTAAGTGTCGCGCTGGTTCGTCTCTCCACTCTTTGGCCCCCCTTGGTCGTGGTCTTGGCTGAAGCCGAAAGCTCCCAGGTAAAAGGATGGTGGCGCAAGGGTCCACGATTTGACCATCGCTTTGCAGAGATTCGGAGCCTCGGCGGTGCGGGATGCTTGGAGCTCAGAGCTTCGGAGTTCTTCTGGAGTGCCTGCTGGAGGACAGTCTGGCTCCACTTGAGAGATTTTACCCTGTGAACGTGTTCGCTTGTTCATCTAGTTTCGCTAAGGACCGGTGAAAAGAACCAGATCGAGCTGATCTGGCTTCCCGGCTTGATCTGGCAGAGTGAGAGTGGGCTTGAGCTTTCTAGGTCATCGCTTGCAAAGGTTACCAGGAGCAGGAATTCAGCATCCAGCATAAAGGTCACTTTGCAGTTTTGGGAGTCTCACAAACTTATTGGCATCCCTAAACCCGAAACCCTGAACCCCCTTTTCAAGAAGCCCCTTATAGGTGCGGTTCGTAAAGCCAGACCCATGGTCAGGAGTCGCACGGAGAAGGGGCTGAAGAGGATCCCTTTGCAGGGCGTTGCTTGGGAGCCCTTCGCCCTGGATGGCCTCTTCGGCTTCCGGCTCCTTCCGCTTCCCCAGGCCCCCGAAGGGGATGCACTGCAGCTTTCTGGGGGAAAGTCTGGTCTCATTGTGTCATCTCTAAGTTGGAGACGTAGGAGCTTTCTGGAGACCGTGTGAAATGAATACATGGTGGAGGACTGCATCATCTCAGGTAGTAGGGGGTCTTCTTTTTTAGTCTAGGCCTCGTGATCAAGAAATGCAGTCAAGTGGTCCGTGACACTGCGCAACATACGGGCAGTTTTCAGACTGCCGGTAATTCGCTGTGGAGCTGGTGCAGGACGGCGACCCGGTTGACCTGGCCACGAAGACCGCCTCTGAGCGGGACTTGTGGACAAAGGCCCAGTGGGTATCGCGCAGTATAGTCAAGTTAGTATAGCATAGCATAGGATAGAATAAGATAGGAGAATATAGCACAGCATGGTGTAGTATAGTATAGTAGAGTCTCGTATTGTCGAGTATGGCATGGTACAGTGTAGCATAGTGCAGTATAGTATAGTTTTGTAAAGTATAGTACAGTTTAGTATAGTACAGTACAGTACAACACCGTGCCGAATAGTCAAGTATAGAGTAGTATAGCACAATATAATGTAATATAGTATGGTCTAGTTTAGTCCAGTATATTCTAGTCTAGCATAGTCTAGTATAGTCTTGTCCAGTCTAGTCTAGTACAGTATACTATGGTTTAGTATAGTCCAGTGTAGCATAGCGTGGCAAAGCAATGGACACCACAGTCTCAAACGTTTTCGTTGGAAGGCCATAGCAGTGGCCGCTGCTCAGCGCCCCTCGGACGGCAGTCCCGTGGCAGGCACACTCAAGGCAGGGAAAGCTGGCATCTTCGGGAGCATTTTCTCGGGTTCAGCCTTTGCTTCCAAGGTTTCAATTTTGGCCTTCAGGTGGAAATCACCGGGGCAAATATGGGGACTCAATCCAGGATTGATGCGTTCCTGCGCAACTTCCGATCAGGATGAAGTGACATTCGCGCAGCACGACCATGAATCAACAACTTATGAAGAGACTGGCGGATGCAGAGAAGAAGCAGGTGAGACTGCTGGAGGCCACCGTGCGCCAGGAGACGTCATGGAGACGCCAGTCACTGGTGTCTTGGCATTCCTTTGGAGCTGCATTTCATCGAGAGAGAGAAGGAAAGAGAAAGAAAGAAAGAGAGAGAGAGAGAGAGAGGGAGAGAGCTAGAGCGTGCCTGCTCTCTGACTGTGTGGAAGAAGAGCTAGTAGAGAGAGAGAGAGAGAGAGA